TCATAATTCTCATAATAAGTTGTTTATGTAATGGGATGGGGGTTGATATTAAACAAGTTCAAGTTCATTTATTCTATCAAAACCATTTAAAATACATGGTAAATGATGGAAATGAAAAATATTTACAGCATTCTTACATGTATATATATTCAGGTCAGAGGTATACATGTCAGTGTAGTATATACATGATCAGAAAATGGCCATGTGAGAAAAAGAAAAAAAGAGTGAAAAAACACGTATGAAACATGTATAAAATGAAATAATTGAGGGAAAAAGTTAATGAGGGGAAACACTATGGAGGGGAAAAAGTTAATGAGGGGAAACACTATGGAGGACAGAAAGTCATATATTTTAATGAGATTTACCCATTAAAGGTTAAATCTATTTATCGAAGTGAAATAAATGTTTGTGGTCTGGCTTGGTCGAAAATGCATCGGGTTCATTTGGCAATTTGTACGGTATTTATCAGTTCCTTTATAGTTTGGGAATATTAGTAGCACCTAGCAAGGGAACTCTGACGTCACGGCACTTTTTCGTCATCAGTCTGTGCTGAAACTTTTAGAGGTAAGGATGTCTTGAAAATACAAGAAGCCTATTTGTAATTTCATGTCGGCTATTTCATAGTATATTTACACGAATTGACTTGTTAATACTTGGTAAAAGGTGATTTATTTATTTAGTCTTTTCGATGGGTGAATAAGCTGTCAATTTCTGTCAGATTGTAAGATTCGAAAATAGGGTCTCAAACAAAGGCACAGGCAGCATGGAGCACGTGGTTTTTTTTTTTTTTTGTTGCAAAAAAAATTACGTAGTAAGCCTATAAAAAGGAAGTACAAGAGGATGGTGTAAAAAATTATTGATGAACAAACATATTTCGTTATTTTCTCGATAAGACAACCTAAAGTTAAAGCGAGGCGAGGCAGATGTCAGGAAAATTTCTCTCTTAAGTCTTTTTTATGCACACATGTATCAGTGGAAAACGGTATAGGGGCAAACTTTTTCTCAATGTCAATTATTTTCAGAACCAATTTTCGCAACTAGACTATTAATTAACATTTAAGATAGTTTAAGTAAGGTTGAGGGGAAGGGGGGGGGCTGTTGCTACGCCCCTGTTATCAATGACACATAATTAAATAATTAAAGCATATTAAATAATAGAGACATAGGAATATATATATATATATATATATATATAATATTTAGAATTAAGAAACATTGTATGGCTACATATCTTGACCCCTGTATTACCGGTAAAGATTAACAGTAAGACCTACTCTAAAACCCGAACCTTTTAAACCCTGGGTGGGCATCATCCCACTTTTGTCTGCAAACATTTTTTTACATTGGAGCAATAATCGAGGGGGCATAGACTGGTCTAATGTTTACATATTTACTATTAGTGGGATTAGAAACATACAAGTCTGGATATATGTTTTCATGGTTGGGAATATACGTTATTATATATACTATACTACTTTTGGCACACCACACCTCCTTCATCTAAACTTCTTGTACTCTGTTTTCTACATGCTAGTACATATATCTATAAAACGCTAAATACAATCAAAAACTTTACATTAAGAAAACGAAATAAATCTAAACCAACATTCATGCAATTACGCTATTTAATTCAAGGGTGAATACGAGATGATCATCTTAAACTTTGAAGATTTGCTGTTGAAACTTGTGCGTCAAGTAATTTTGAACTATTCTATTTAAAAAGTCTAGCGGGGGGGGGGGGCTGTTTTAATTATCAGCTCATAGCTATATTAAACAGAAGTTTTATCTAAGGATACTTAGTTGATTTTTTTTTAAGTTTAGTGGTAAATTACCTATATTTTCGATCCTTACGCTGGGGCTCTAATCCCACTGTGGGATATGGAGACCGGTCCTTCGGATGGGACCATACAAACCGAGGTCCTGTGTCACGGTAGGTGCTGGCACGAAAAAAGATCCTTCATTGCTTAATGGCTCTGTGTGCCAAGTGTGAGAAAATTTGTAGCCCTCCACCGGCAAGTGGTGGCATCTCAATATGGGTAAAAAAAGTTCTTGAAAGGGACGTTAAACAGCAGACATTCAATCTATCAATCTACATTTTCGTACTCAGTCCATTTTCTTAATTGTTTCAGCTTTAGATAGATCTACGAAGGAAAATTGCATGAGTCATCTGCAAGGAAAATGTATAATTTCAGTATTCTTGAAATTTGGGTGGGTTTTTTATTGCACATAAATAACTTGCAAGCAGTGATTAGAGACTTAGCATAAAGCGTAGGGGAAAAACTATCCTTTTTCAATTTGAACGACTCTTCCAGGAAAACTGGTTTTTACAAGTCCGATTCTCAAGAAAAAGTCCATTATCATCTGCCGATCCTTGAAAATAGCAAACATAAAAGTTTGCTTTGATTTGAATGTATATAAATAGAATTAATAATCATAAATTTATAATAGTATTCACCTGTTCAATAATTTTTCTTGTTTTCTATTCAAGATAACCTCTTGGTAACCGCGTCAGGCGGTTTCAGACGTAAATATATGTTTAATTTTATAAAATGATAGCAATTTTGCTTTGGACTTCCCATATACCAGAAACGTGATGCAGAAAAAAAAATTTCCCCATGATCCCCGGGGAACTGTTTGTTTTTGTCCAGTTATGTCAATTTATTATCACGTCACAGTTACACATTAAGTAGGTGTGGCTTAAGTAGGGGTGCCCCGTATATGAAACAAGTGTCTATGACTGTGACGTCAGGACTTAGGTTGCTCCACAGAAGAACGTTAACATATTTTTAGAAGCTTAAAATAGAATCACCCAATTTATAGGCCTTTTTAAGTACTTGATAATGTGATCTTGTGTCAATCAGACAGCTGTCAACATTTAACAAAATATGTTTTTATTCTTTCTTATACAATATAATTTGGATATGTAGTAGATTAAAGAGACTATAATTTAACAGAAAACATGATCCAGAAAAAAAAGAAGCCGACTGAAATTATATTGTGTTAGAAACGCTTTAATTTAGAAAGATGTATAACTCAATTTCTAACCGCTAAACATACCAACTAGTATTTAGGAGGAAGGGGTGCTGATTAATTCACTTCAGTTCCTGGTATGTTTAACTTTTTCTACAAACAGTTATTTGCATTTCAATTACAATGGGGGGTGGGGGTGCCAGAGATTTTTTGCTTTAGCAAACATCCAATAGCAATGCAAACTCCATGTTATCCCCTGCCTCTATCCAAGCATTTAGCTCTATCTACACATTGAATTTGAGCACACTGCGGTATATGACCGTTCATAGGGTTTTTATTCCTTCTTGATACGTTTAACAAGATCCAGTGTTTTAGTGATCCGTGTTTATGATTTTGTAATTTTTTAAAGTCAACCTCTATTATCCTCACAGTTTTGAATTCTTTGTCATATATTTTGGTCTTACTACCTATTTGAAAATTCAGCTAACTACCCTCGAGTTTAGATTCTTTAATTGCCTTACATGTATATACCAAACTTATAAATGTATTCGTGTTCTAAAGGTTGTGAGTTTGATTCTCGGCGGCGACTGACCTTATTCGATAAAAATGGGTAGCAACTGTTCCTTCGCCATGCGCTCAGCACCTTGATTGTATGTTGTTTAACGACCTTTTGAGAATGTTCCAATCATATGGAGACGCCAGTACTGGCCGGCGGAGAGCTTCAAAATTTGTTATAAACTCAGCACCTAGGTCCATTGAGCAGTGAGGGATCTTTTTTGTGTTAACACCTACTGCGACATCCCGCTGTGGGATACGAACCCGCGATGTAAGGATCGACTCCTTACTTGGCGGCTCTAGAGCAGGCACTTTAACCACGTGCACTGCGGACGACCTCTGAAATTTAAAACTTATATCATATTTTCGAACAGCTAGGTCAAGATCATGCAGAATGCAGTGAGAAATGCCAAAAATGCACTCATTTTTTAAAAGTTATAAATTCTTAAAAGAGGCAAATTAGAAAATTAGAATTTCGTGCCAGCCACTTAAAATATTTAGGTTTTATACGGATTTCTGTCGTTTCTTTGCGTTTTTCCCTTATCTAAGACACCCTTTGTTTCTGATAACCGAAACCGAGTTATTCGATAACAAATTGCATTATTCAACCGCATTTCCGATAGCATACTGAAAGTTAAAATTGGGCAATTTTTGCTCTTTGATTACATATTTTCAGGATTCTGTGGAAGTCATATTGTGGACAATTATCAATGCAAAGTAAATATAAGGATTTGAAGAAAAAAGCTATTTACAACAATGCCAATAGGAGAAAAAATTGCAAAATATAACAAATTTGACTTTTAAAGCCTTCCAATGGCTAACAAATGCTATACTAATGCGTTTCGAGGCTTCAGTTTGTATCCGTATTCATTCTGCTTAAAAAGCACAATGAATATTCTCTCTTTTCTATTTTAACAGAGTTTATTTAATATAATTTACTAACCTGTAAAACTTTGTTATCAACCGAGTGTCCGAAAACAACCGAGTAGCTGATAACGCGTTAAGCAGTGTGTTAATGTTTTTTGAAAAAAAAAATTATTAGGACATTTACGGTAATTTGAATAGCAAACCGTGAGACAGCCTGCGGTTCGCCATTCGAATGGTGAATAGCGAATAGCGAATAACCTTGTCCTTAGTACCCCCTTGCTTGTCGTAAAAGGCGACTAAATGGGGCGGTCCTTTGGATGAGACCGTATAAACCGAGGCCCCGTGTCACAGCAGGTGTGGCACGAAAAAGACCGCTCCATGCTCAAAGGCCCTGAGTGCCGAGCATAATCCTAAATTTGCAGCCCTTCACCGGCAATGGCGACGTCTCCATATCAGTGAAATATTCTGGAGAGGGACGTTAAACAGTATACAATCAATCAATCCAACTTCTGATTGCCTTGTATATATATGTTTTTCACAGAATTTACATATGAAGGATATGGAAATAACGAACAGTATTCAATCTCAACGTACATTAAACAAATATACAAACTAAGAGCAGAGCAAACACGGACCTCCGAAATATCAGAGGTGGGATCAGGTGCCATGGAGGAGTGAGCATCCCCTGCCGACCGGTCACACCCGCCGTGTGCTCTTTGTCATAATCAGGAAATAACGGAAAAATCCGTGGTCAATTCAGTGTATAAATAATGGACTAACAATTGGTATGAAAAACGTCAGTCAGCATTTCATTCAATGATAAATTGTATTTGCTGACAAGGTCATTGTATCGACCATAAAATTAACGAAATGATGACTTTAAACGAGACTGTTGATATTCTTGTTTCATCAACTTTCTTGTCAATAATTTACCTCTTTTAAGAAATTGTTCATACTTAGAGCATGCTCTTGCGTATCGAATCAACTGAGATTTATATACTCCGTATGCAGGAGATGAAGGTTTATTGCTGCATAAATAAGGGAAGTTGGCGATAGAAAAGTTAAAGTCATCACGTTTATCATATAGCTTGGTTGTTAGATTACCATAAGTGTCTTTTTCAAGTAAAATATCCAAGTATGAAGCAGAAATGTCGGACTCTGTGGTATCTTTTATCTCAAGCTCACCAGGATATATCGTGTCGACGTAGGAATGGAAATTATTATTATTAATTGACAATACGTCGTCGATATATCGAAATGTCGAGATGAAGGCCACAGCGAGTGTTTTCTTCTTTTCACGCAAAAGATTTTGCATAAATTCCGCTTCATATGAATATAAAAATAAGTCTGCTTATAACGGAGCGCAATTTGTACCCATGGGAATTCCAATAGATTGTTGGAATACCTGATCCCCAAAAACCACATAGATATTGTCAATCAGAAACTCAAGCATCTTCTTGATGTCAACTTCAGAGTACTTATGTGTGCAATCAGAATCTGTTTTAACAAAATAATTTTTCAAATGACCAATGATGAGGTAAGTAAACTTACGAGTTCCATTTTTGTTGAAGAAGCAGCTGTCAATGATATCAAAAAGCCTGGATTTTAATTTGTCGTGGGGAATTGTGTATAAAGTTGAAAAGTCGTAAGTTTTTATGCTGTTGATATTTGCAAAGTCTTGTGATTTCAAATTGTCCAAAAGTTTTTAGAATTTTTTAGTATCCACATCTGATTTACACCACTTCTTGAATATATGGTTGTACAGTACTCTTGAAGTTTTTCCTTCACTACTGTCAATATTTTAGTGAGAAGTAACGAAAGAGGCTTGGTTGAACATATACTGGAACCTGCAATGTATCTTTGTTTGTAAGGATTCTTATGAAGTTTCGGAATCCAATATACATTTCGTAAAAATGTAGAAACATTTATTATATCGGGCCGCAACTAAAATGTCCTAAAATGTATATGTATAATTTTTTACGTCATGTTTTATTAATTATTCATCTGATCAATGAGGGGGCTCATAGCGGACATGATTGGTCAACAGGGAATGCTCACTCCTTCTATGCAACTGATTCCATCATTGATTACAAGGGGGTCATGCTCTGCCTTTTTCACTGTTTGGTAATTGATTAAATTAATTCCTGTTCATTAATATCAAACTTTTCGTTTGATCGACTTATAGATAAACATTTAAGAGGTGCAAAATTTATCCTCATGTCAACATAGGACAAAGCATTACGGGTCTTTGGGAGACCCCCTGTGCATTTCTTTTACCTAGTGGTCATGGAGTGCAGAATAGACTGTTAAAGAAATATCAACTAAAAGATTTTCCTTTAAACTTGTATTTTCTTTCATGAACTTCTAAAAGCTAAATATAAATAATATTGATTGTAGAAATGGTAAGGTGCATTGACTACTTAAAATCTTGCATTAATTAATGACTATGGAATTATAGTATATCCTTTTTCCCTTTAAAATACAAAACACGTTAAAAAACATATATCAACAGAGTGAAATACGAGTTTCAGACTAAATAATTATAAATTATTGCTCTAAAAATTTCTGTGTACTGTTACTAGTAAAGTAAATCAAAGCAGGTTTTAAATGTGGACAAATTATTTAAAACCCTAAAAATAATAATAAACTTCATCTCATATGAGGTATATCCAAGGCGGGATGTTCATAAACAATTAAAAATGAGATAAACAAGATCCAACCATATAGCCAAAAATAGTATTAACTAATTAAAAATGAATTTACGTATTGAATGAAATCAATTAGAACTAAAAAATGAACATGCCCATTGCATTAACTCGACTTGCGTTGTCACTGAGGAATCAGACGATTTCTTTTGTTTTATTTTGTTTTATTTTAAATGGTTCTACACTTGTTGTGTTATAACTTTGTTATACAAAGTTATAACAAAACAAGTGTAGAGCCATTTACGCTTCCGTACAGTCCGGTCCTCCGAGCCGCAAAAAATCAGTGTTTTGGGCTTAGGGACTTTATTCTTTTTTTCAAAATTTAAGCAAGGAAATACTGTCTTTAAATCCATAAATTGCACATCCATCTAGTTTTCTTATGATAAAATCTTTAAGGAGTGTTGTTCAAACAAGTTACTTTCAGATTAATTGTTGATATTTTTGAATATTGTCACTACTAAGTCAAAAACATACTGACATTCCCATTTTTTACTGACAAACTTAGAAAATTACTGACAATGTGCTGTCGTTACTGTAAAACTTAGACAATTACTGACCTTTTTACTGCCGGTACTGTTAAACTTAGAAAAGTGCTGACAATCTTAGTCGGTGCTGATAAACTTAGACAATTACTGACCCGTTTACTGTCCCTGCTGAAAAACTTAGACAAGTGCTGACATTTACTGATAATTACTGTCCCTATTGTTCTCGCTCTCGGGGAGGCTGCAGTGGTGTGAAATTGATTTTTTTTAATTTTTACATAGATTATTATTTCATTTATTCGTTTTTAATTTTCATATAATTTTAACTATGTCCAGATGATAACTTTGAAAAAAAAGCTTCTTTGATCTATTTATAGAAAATTGATTTGTAACAAAAATATTTTGAAGAGAAGGGATAAAAAAAAATGAATAATCTTCCTTAGTAGTGAGATATGAAATTTTACAGAGGTCTTTTCCTTTTTATAATAAAACAATGTTATTACATGACATGCATTTTATAATATTTTCTTAATTAACATTGACTCCCTAACTTTCTTAAATATTAATTTAAAGAATCAAACTGTTAGTTTAGATGTGTTTTATTCAATTTTAATTCAATTTATTCAAATTAGTTTGAATAATTTTAATAAACTCATAGCGCGCGGTGAGGCCGTGGGTGCCCCCTTTTGAGGAAAGGCATTTGTTATAGTTTTCATATTATGTCAAATTTTTAATTATGTGGAGGCCGCCCATATTTGTTCTTTGTGTAGTCAAACATACCCGAATCCAAGCATTTGCAAGAAGAAACCAAAATTAAAAGACAAACGGGGGATTTAAATTAAAAAAAAAAAAAAAAACATTATTTTATTCATTGGGCAGGGAGAGGGGGGCTACGGGCCTGCATTGATCATTGATCCTTTGATATTCATTGATTTAGTTACTGTCCTCATTATTCTTTTAAAATAATGCACATCTTTTTTTTGATTTTCGAATCTGGATTTTCTGGATCCCCACCTGAAAGTGTTATTTTTTTAATTCAAATAAATGAAAAACTATAACATTTTATATAATCATCTTTTGTCTATGCATACTCCTGAAACAAAACTTTGATAGAAATTAATTTCAATGTTCTCTTCAATTAGAGTGTCGGTCGACGTTCACATGGATCTAGCTTTAAATTTGTCTTTTCAAATTAAAATGGGGGGGGGGGGGGGGCGTGCGAACTAAATGAAGAACAATGAACATGTACTTATTTATTTTAATAAAGTAGAACACACAATTAATACTGTCGTGTTTAAGTTTGTACTCCTTTTTATCTGTTTAGGTACAAAAAATTAATAAATTTAATTAACTTATAAATCGACGTTTCATAGCTTTGTTCGGTATTGAAACCAGTATCAAGATTTTACGGTAACACGTCCAAAATTATTCAGGTCGTTTAGCTGGTATCCAGCCGAATTACATAATCATTCAATATACAATCGGAAACTCTGTGAAGCACCTGTGTGTAAAAGAAATCGTCTGAGGCGATCCGAGTGTGTACGGCAGCAGGTAAAGAAGACAATAGGTGTCACTGCCGTATTATACAGAAGAACACTCGCAGGATTTTACTGGAAGTTAGTTATGCAACATTACAGCGACAGGTAGACTCTTCTTCAAGACAGTTTGAATTTGAGAAATTCAGCACCAACACATACGTAATATAATTTATGCAATCTACAATCCTTCATCCTCTTCTTAGATTAAATAAATAATTTTTTTAATATACCGACGTAAGATAAAATTAAAGATTAATGAAAAAAGAAGATTGATTTAAAAACCAACCGGGGAAAGGCACAAATTGTTTAAAGATTTAAGCAAAGATAAATATATGAGAAGGGGCACATTACATCCAAAGTTTTGTAAAAATTACTGGTTCCTAAAATTTTTTGTTAAGTCGTGTTAGTGTGTGTGTGGGACAGTGGAGTGAGGAATTTGTTTGATTATCAATCAAATAAAAATAGTTCATAGTATATTTCCAGTTAAAAAATCAAACACAATTTATATGCAGCAGTATTATTATAATAAAAAAAATCAGCCGGGGTTTAACTATACATGTATTTTAAACTTTGCCTGGATCGATATTGATTTTTTTGGAGAAAGAGAGAGGAGGGAGAGAGAGAGATGAATGGTAACTCGTCATGGAAGATAGTGGGAACCTACAGTTTGCAAATAATCTTAATCTTATTTAAAGTAAAGATGTTTATGAAACCTGAATCAAATAAATAATGATTACGGGACGGGTATAAATTGATCAAATGTAATAATTATTTTTGTTAAAATTGAATCATGATTAAAAATACTTGAAGATTAAGTTTAAAAACTAAATAGTGATTTAACCCCCTCGGCTATGTGAATAACGCAGCACTTCTCAAGTATTTAAGTAACTTAAAGTGTCAATACTGTTTGTATCTTTAAGAGAGAGAGAGAGAGAGAGAGAAGGAGGGAGAGAGAGAAGAAAAATATTTGAGAATGGTGCTACT